AAGCGTCAATAACTACAAGGAAAGTGTTTGCAACTGTGGCTACCAACATGAATAAAGTAACTAGAATATCACATATTAGTATCTTTTGTTGTCAAACAGAACAGGCCAAATCTTAAGACAAGCTATTCCTGGAACATGAACAAAGCAATTTGCTAAAAACTACAGGTAGACGGAGTCCGAAGATCCATATTTTCACCTCAGTCAGTCACAACGTAGAACTTCGTACGTACGTACATCAGTTCGAGTTGCCATACCACATTAGCACGGAGATGCAGTTGTAGATTCAAATCCCATAGTGGTAGGAGTATAATCAGAAATCCAAAAGATAAGGGTTTGAAGAAATTATTGAAGGAGTATAGTACAGTGAAATAAATTTGGAAAGAGAAAAAGATAAAGACATGAGGAATTCAGAAGATTAGAATTTGGTAGAACACAAAGAGTGGATGCACCTTCGCCATTGCAAACGATTTTGAGCCATGTCATTCAAGGTCTCTAACCATCGGTTGCTATCATCTCACGGACACCAACCAGGTAGTCTACAGCTACCAGCATGGCCCAGTTCACTTGTCAGTGACTTCATTGATTTGTGCCACGTTTTGGTCTGGCCACCCCTAGCTTTCTTCCAACCTACTCCTACACCATGAAACATTGCACGTCGGGGCAGTCGGTGGTCGGGCATACGTAACACATGTCCCAGCCATCTCAACTGATCAAGTTTCACTACTTCATCAATCGATTTGCCATCCCTACCTAGTATTCGTTTCCTAACAACTGCATTACTTACCCGGTGGTCCCAGGATATACGAGCAATGCTTCGAAGACACCTATGATCGAACACTAGTAGCCTACGAATATCCTCTACTCTTATTGGTCATGTTTCACTGCCATAAAGTAGGACGGAGCGAACTGCTGCACAGTAAACCCGTCCTTTGGTTGCTAGACGGATATCTCGCCTACGCCATAAATGACGCAAGTTGGCGAAAGCTAGACGAGCCTTCTGTATCCGTGCTGAGATTTCGTCACATATCAGACCACAAGGGCTGATGAGACTCCCAAGATAAGTGAAGTGGTCTACACGCCCAACTACTTCACTCCCTATCATTAGTTCAGGTGTCGCTGCAACCCAATCCTGAAGTAACATTTTGCACTTCGAGGGAGAGAATCGCATCCCGAACATGCCTGCATTGTTGCTTATAGTGGTCAGAAGACTCTGCATGTTGTCAGCGTCTTCACCGAGTAAAACCATGTCGTCGGCGTACTCTAAGTCAACAAGTGAATCTCCCGGTAAAAGTTCAACTCCTGGAGGTTTAGCTGATGAAAGTGCTATCTCTAAAAGTATGTCGATGACAAAGTTAAACAAGAATGGGGAGAGTGGACAGCCCTGACGAACGCCACTTGTGGTAATCAGTTCTGATAACAGTTCGCCATAGGCTCTAACTCGACCAGTTGTGTTCGAGTAGAGAGCCTTTATGAGGTTAATGTACTTCTTTGGTACTCCTTTCAGTGACAAACACTGCCATAGAACCTCACGATCAACGGAGTCAAATGCCGCCTTAAGGTCAAGAAATACTACTATTGTGGGACGTCTGAATTTGTGTCTATGTTCTAGGACCTGACGTAGGGTGGATATCTGGTCTATGCAACCACGTCCAGGTCGAAAACCAGCCTGGTTTTCTCTAGTCTGCTCTTCACGAGCTTTGGTTAGGCGACCTAGTATTATTGAAGCTAATATTTTAGACACTATATTAGTCAAACTGATCCCTCTGTGATTGTCACAGGAGGACTTTTGTCCTTTCTTATAGACTGGCACAATCAGTGATTGGGACCAGTCAGATGGAATTACGTCCAGTTCCCAGATTCTACCTAAGACCTCAGTCAATCTCACTGCTAGTACTGGACCACCATCCTTAAAAATCTCAGGGGTCAACCTGTCAGCGCCTGCTGCTCTCCCTCGCTTCAGATTTCCTATAGCTTTTTCAACCTCACAGAGGATTGGAGGACTTACATCAATTTGCCATTCAGGACGACTGGGGATCGTGGGTAACTGAAGTGTGGCTGAAGGCCAGTTGAACTGATCCCTAAAGTGTTCTGCCCATCGATCCAATCACCTGGATTGAGAATGAATAATATGCCCATCATTATCTGAGATGGTTTCACTGATATTCGGGTTCCTAATACCGGTTTCTTTAACGAGTCTGAATAGCTGCCTACTGTTACCTATTGCCACTGTCTTTTCCATCTCTCTTGCTTTCGCTAACCACCACTGTTCACGATCATTGCGTAGGCTTCTTATAAGCCTGTGCTTAAGTTGACTCCGCTCTTCCTTATGTTCAGAGCCAGGTGGGATGAGTTTACGAGCATCTATCAGTGTGGTAGATGCTGCCGAGATCCATTGTTTCTCCCTAACGTTATGGTTTACCTTACTAGCGGATATCACTACTGTTTCCACAGCTTTTCGGATGTCATCCCACGCTGCTTCGGGGTGGACACAACTTACATGGCTGCCTAACTGTTTTTCTAGTTGTTCCTGAAATATATTCTTAGCTTGCCTATCATTAAGTAGAACCCTTAGAGGCTTCCCTGCAGTCTTTCCTACGACCAGTAAGACACAGACAGATACGTGCTCGCACTAGAGCATGATCTGAATCTAAACATATGCCCCAGAATGAGCGAGTCTTTTATCGAGCCCCTCCATCGGTGGCTGATAGCGATGTGATCTAATTGGGTCCAACGTTGGAACGAATTCGGGGGTCGCCATGTCAAAAGATGTTTTTCCTTATACTTAAAGTTAGTATTTGCAAGAAATAGGCGGTTATCTGAGCATAGCTGCAACAGACGGTCGCCATTATCTGTTCTTTTCGCCATGACACCATAAGATCCACCCAGGTGTCTTTCCCTTAGTTTACCTACTTGAGCATTAAAGTCACCTGCTACTATTACTACATCAGAACGCCTAGCTTCTCAGAGAAGGTCAGAAAGTTTCCTGTAGAAATCATCTTTTATATCGTCTGAGCTGCAGTCAGTGGGAGAGTAGGCAGAGACGACGAAGAGGCAACGACGAGTTTCCCTATCTTTCCGGGTCCTTACTGACCCGTTTAGACGGACAGCGCATAGACGACTGTCTACTGGGATCCAGTCTAAAAGAGCTAGTTCTGCCCTAGGACTTAATGCTATACCTACTCCAGCGAGGCCACGGGAAGCAGCATCAGGGCTTCCAGATACACGGAGCGTGTATCGAGATGAAACTTTATTATGATTAGGTGCGGTCAAATGAATGACACTACTCGGATCTTGTATGCGCGTTTCGGAGACGCAGCACACATCGATGGTGTAAGATTCTAGAGTACTAACTAAGGAAGCCTGTTGTCCTATTTGGCACAATGTTCGGACATTAAAAGTTCCTACATGCAGTTAAGAGCGTGGCTTCAGGAGACCAGGAATAACGTTCCGTGTACTTGAATCGTTTGCCCTAGCGGTGCGAGGTGATAAAAGGACGTGGGAAGGGTTAGTCGTGGAGATAACAGAGTTATTAAGTGTAGGAAGGATTTGAAAGCGACCAACTTGGTCTCGTGTGCAGTTAAAGGTATGAGGGCTAATATCACTTCCCGGCTGCCCACACCGTGGAAGGGTATTTCTTGAGGGACCTGAAAAAAAAGTTGGATTAGTGTTGGTCTTAACGACCTGGGAGCGTGACCGCATACCCAAGGGACAACTGCTTGAGGTCGGTTGCACATCACTTTTTTGTGGGAAGTTGTTGTGTTAGCTCCGTACTTGTTGTGACCTTAACGCCGGAGACGGATATCCGTGGGATAAGGTGCGCATTTCTATGGTTGATTTTTTCTAACCCCAACCCTCCTTGTGGGAAGGCAGCATCGCTGTCATGCTGGTTGTCTGAAGGAAACACCTTAATGCTTTCACACCTCTGTACAGTGAGCAGTACGACTTCGGACCTTGGGTTTGCTGCTTTTAGTCTTACCGCTCTTCAACCGACCTGTCTGGCTTGGTAGGAACTTGAGGAACGATTGTTCCAGCCAGCATAGCTCGATTGGATCATCACGATAGGTAAGCTCGACCACCACGTCAAGGTAGCAGCAACGGTCGGGATATTTTCACCTCCATGCGCTTAAAACTGATCCGGTAAGACTATAACTTATGGATGGACCAATCAAATTTAGGATAATAGGTCTTGGATTTGGCGCGAGATTACTGCATTCGTTTGGCAAAAGTTTTGGCGTTATAGCTGATGCCAGTTCGTGAAAACCCAATATCTAATCCCTCATGCTGGTTCATAACCCTTATTTAGCTGCAGTCTGAAGGTGGACATTCTCAAGGTCTTTTTGGAGTCGCTCAAAGGTCGCCCAAAAATCAGTCTCACCAACAGATCCTTCCAAGTAGTTAGTTCCGGAAAGCAAACCACGTCACAAAAACGTTAGGTAGATATTCCATTTGGTAAAAATTCAGATACCGAACTTAGTTTTCATGGAGACCGTCTTTAAAAAGTAACAGTGAACAATAAAAAAATGCGCATAAACATGGCTAAGACCTATCTAGATTAACTGCTACGTAGACTAACGTGCATTTAGTGAAACTAAACGATCTAATCAACAAGGAAAACGAATGACAATCGAGAATTGTAGTTCAGTTGATTATTTTTGATGTAGCTTTGTCCTTCAAGCACTTCAGTTAGGTCGTGAAGCTTTCATTGTTTTTTCTGGACGACATCACTAGAACGACTTCTACCTTAAGTTTGTGCTCAGAGGACAAAACTACATCAAAACGAATGACAATAAAGCAAACTCAGACTGTGTTCAATGACTTCTCCAGGTCTCGTTTTTGCGCGAATCTCGTATGACAAAGCTTTTATATAGGAAGCACAGCTTTATCATACTGGAATGGCAAGAATTGTTTTGTTTAGACTCCCACATATAGGAAATAAATTTAATTAGCTAACAGTCCATTTTGTAATTTTATTTATAAAAGATTCATTCTGCTGACTCAACATTAATTATCTGCTTTCCTTTAAAGTCAGTACAAGGTACGAATGTTACCAAAGTGTAGAACTTATGTATACTATCTGCATCCTTGTTAGCTTTGCGCGCAAGCCTCACGCGGACACGATATGGAACATTTCGGACACCTTTGGACCATATAAATCTACATGTATATGAAAAAAAGATTATATGAGCTTACTGATTGAGCCGCACACCAATTCGAACATCTTCAGTGCCCATCATCTTTTTAGCAAACATTTTTATTTCTTTAATAGCTCGAGGAGCTCGCCTTTTGAAACCAACACCATGAATTCGTTTGTGCAAATGAATTGTATATTCGCGAGTAGCAACACCTTTTCTGGCAGTTCTTCTAGCTTTCGTTCCAGATTGCACCATGGCCGACAAGCAAGCACGCCAATCCTAAGTGACCGCTAATATTAACTGACCCGTAAACGATCATTCAGGCTGCTTGATGTCCAATTTCTAACACTTACGAAAAGAGTAGCTTATTTACATGTCACTGTCATACTGTGAATCCAGCCTCGAATGTTTTATATTAATAACTTTAAGATTCATGTGTGGACACATGGATATATATGTAATCTGATTTAAGATTGTGGCATATTTAGTTGTAAGCCTGACATGACCTGATACACCAAGAATAAACTCTGAATCTGTTTCTTGTTATAACACATCACTTTTATTTTTGTGTTATTTTCATATCGGGAAATGACTTTTGCATTCCAGCTCATATATACATTTTGTCCTCATTACGACGGGAACAGATACCTGAATTATTGAAGAATATGACATTAACACCCCTCACCTTTCAACTGATGCTGTTCTGACCTGACAATATCGAATTCCGGCGATGCTGCGCGGAAGGCAACTCGCATGAGCTCAGAGTCTTAGACTCACGTGCGCTATTCTTTGTTGCGGTGAACGAATTACAGTCACGTTACACCTAGCATGTTTGCTAGTAACGTTTCTGAACCTTACGATAATTTATAAAGGACTCATCTTGAAAATAGAGACCTAACCGATCGACGAAGATCAGATCAACTCCTCCACAACAACTAATTACAACACGGCCCAGATACAGAAATGTTGCTATATGTGCGAGAGGTCACTGGTCAATGGACTTGCGGCGATGTCGTTTTTAGATTTATCAACCTGAACTACGACGCGATAAGAAATCATCCTCCATAGTTAAAGAAATTATCACAAGATCAACTACGTTAGCACGTTTTGATAACAAAGCACCTATTAGAATCGCAGTAGATGCATCCAACTGGGCAATCGCGGGAATCTTATAAAAAAGGATAAACAAAACTCAGTAACCTTTGTAATTTTTCTCGAGACGGTTGCAAGACACTGAATCGAGGAATAGTACTTTCACCAGGGAACCCTTAGCCATGTATTATGCTATACGGCACTTCCAACACTTTTTGGAAGGCGGGAAATTCACTCTGTTTAACGGAGTTTGTCTTAACGTGTTTCTGTTATACGATATCTTTCAGATGAGCATATCTGAACCAGATGGATTTTGTGTATTTACGTCTTGTTTGTACTAGAGATTCAGACTCACTGGCTTTTCCATTGAGTCTCTTCTAATGAGTGTGCTGCTACAGTCAAGGAGCAATGTAATCCAGAGTTTTGTTGTTATTTTGGTCATCTTTCTTTACTCAGATTTTATCGGGTGAGGATGTTGGTCCAACTAGTGGCTATCATATCACCAAATGTGTAACAATTGAAAAACCAGCATTCGGTTTGAGCTCAGAACTAACGAAACAATGACTGTTCCCCCTTTAGCTCTTATGGATAACTGATGGGGGATCTATATCTATAGTTCGTTCTGACACTTTGTAGCTTACACGTTCTCTCAGTGTAGACTCACGCGTTATAGTCCACACCATACTGTCACTTCCGGAAATTTGTCGGCATTGTAAATGCGTGATGAACCATAGTCAATCCTTCGATATTCCGAAGGAAAAAACATGATTAAAATTCATCCACAGCATTCTATAGAACAGTATTGTCACTAATTCAAATCTTTCTGTCTTATACTTTGGTCTTTATTATGACCTCTTTTAACCACACTTTGTTCTTCGGCCTTCCTTGTCTGGTCTTTTGTTGTATGATCTCAGTTAACAATGAGAGCAAGCAAATACAGAGGCGAATCGGGAGTCGAGTGAAAAGTTGAATGAATTGATTAGATTTGAACACGTGTGTATAATAGCGTGAATGACTCGTCTGCCCATTTAAACAGCTAATATTCAGGCTTGTAGGAGGAGTGTGCGTACAGGCTGTAACACTTGATCAAGCACACACTTTCATATAGACATGTTAGTAATAATACAAATTTATACAATTTGTTGCTGCTTGAATGACATTGCCCATTTGGTTAATTGAAGGGCTTTTGTGATAATCTGAAGTATTTGAATCATAATATGAACTAGTAATCCCACCAGTAACGCATTTTAATCAGGAAGTATTAGATGAGCACGAACGAGTGCACTGTATTTTGAATTCAAAGTCAAAACAGTCATCAATACAAGGGAATCATTGGTTCATATAGACACCAAATCCTCTACAGCTTAAATTGGAGTGTAAGTATCTGTAATCGATTGTGTGTCATATTCTTAGGTTCATATTACATGTGTTTGACAGTGTATTGGATACAGATACTGTATTATCTAGAATGCACTCGTTAGTATTAGAATTAACAACCGAAATTGGAACGGACTCACCTGGGTCCTGAAATTGTATACAATCACCATATTGGTTGTGCACTGAAACTACTAATATCTGAGTTGGAACCACAGTTTTTCTAACACTATCCTCCCCCACGAAGTAATGTTGGATCTTTGTATCCCCAAGTTATGAATAATGTGGCTAGTGCATTCATTAGAAGTAATTTCATGATAAGTATAAACAACATTTAATATGAAGTTATCCGAATTGTAATTAAAATCAAGCTCATTCAAATGGTTCAAATGGTTCAAATGGTTGAGGACGGAATAGAAGAAGCTTTCGCTTAACGGGCTTCCGTGTCTGGTAGCAGTGGATCACCAATACCTCCAGGCAAGAACCTAGGTATATGAACGATAATAGAGGGAAAAAAAGAATTTGGTAAATCATAATAATATGTTATCCTTAGTCCTTAAGAATAAGTCAAGTCTTCTCTTAAATAACTCCTGGGAGGTCGCTTGGACTAGCTCAGTCGGCAGCGAATTCCAGCACTTGACAACTCTAACGGAGTAGAAGTTGTGTCTACAGTCTGTTCTGTTATGTAGGGTCTCCAATTTCTGGGTGTTACCTCTGAGGTTAGTGTTATGACTAAGCTTAAGAAGTTGTTTAAGGGGATGACCAGAAGTATTAAGGATAATATAAGTCATAAGAAGATCACCTCTAAGACGCCTATACTCTAACGGGTAAAGGTTAAGTGATTTGAGGCGCTCTTCATAAGGTTTGAATTCGAGACCCCGAACTGATTTCGTGGCTCGACGTTGTATACTTTCCAGAGTGACCTTGTCCTTTTGGAGGGAGGGAGGAAATACTATGTTTCCGTACTCTAAGTGGGGACGAATAAAACTGTTGAAGATTATATGGAAGGTTCTACCGTCAAACTGGCCAAAAATGCGCTTCAATGTTACCAGTGCAAGGTTTGCTTGAGAGGCGTTTTTGTCACAGTTCGCATACGATTTCAGGTCTGTATACATATCTGGTAGTACTCGTACCTTGCATTGAACCAGTTTCCCAAAAGCAGCAAATGTATTATGAGGATAAATAATATATGATACGGCTTCAGGATTTGATTCTTTTGAAATATTTTGCTCAAATTTATTATGAGTTTCATTAGAGAATAATGGACCATTAGAAAAATCAGCATCTACCAAAACTGAATCCGGTTTTCAATCATGATTTGACTGATTCAAAATATTATTCTCAGAGTTGTAAGAAATTTCATCAGAAATATGTGAATCATTATGACAAGTCATATCTGGTACAATAACATGAGAAATCTGATAGGAAGTTGGTTGATTGGAAACTTTTCTCATAATGATTCTGAGTTTCATTCAACTCTGGACTGCTCTATGATTCTATACCCCTTCTAAAGATCTTGGATAAAGATGAGTGATTATTAGAAACATCAACCTCAGTAGAATCACAAATTTTAGCATTAGTTTCAGCGAAATGAACCATGGTATTAAAAACTGTTCAGTTTTACCACTTTTAGAGCATTTAGAATTACGAAATACACATGAATTACACGGGTGAAACTTGCCACAGAAGAAACATTTACCAAACTTGTGCTCATCTTCGTGATTTTTTTCACAACTCCACGTACTTTTATGTGAATAACATTGATTACGTCTTGGACTGGGACAACGTAGTAAAGTGGTGGAATTCCTGATGTTCTGGCGAGTCATTTAATCGAATTTTTCTCTTTTACCGAATTTGAAATTTCTATACTTTACATGGTTCAGCAGTAGTTGCTTGAGAGTTGCATATTGGATTGAAATCGGCTTATCTGGAAATGCCAAAGTCTTTATTAAGTTGTATGCTTCTTTTCCGATGAACTTAATGCAATTGGCCACAACATTAAAATCTTCATCAGTTTCTTTGGTCGAAGCCCAAATTTCGAACCTTTCCATGTACTCCTCAAAAGCATTAAAATCTGAATGTATATCCAACCGTTCCATCACAGTCTCCATCGCGACGCCAATATGATAATTTGAAGTAACTTAATCATAGTATGAACTAGTAACCCCAGTAATAACGCGATTTAATAAAGAAGTATTAAGTGAGCACGAACGAATGCACTGTATTTGGAATTCAAAGTCAAAACAGTCATCAATACAAGGGAATTATTGGTTCATATAAACACCACAGGTTTACAGAAGTGAACGTAAGTGAACATAAGTGTAGGTGAGGTGCTGTAATCACTGCACTCTGGAGACAAAGTTACAAAATAATGTCTGTGTTTGCTAAAAATGTTGGACTAGACAGAGCAAATATGACGAAAAGAACATGCTGTGAGTTTCTCCTCCGAATACTAATACACAGTATTGTCATTTACTTGTTTCGTTTCTCCGTCATGCATTTGAACCTTTATCCAGGTTACTTTTAGCCACACTTTATGTTCTTCATACTTTTTTGCCTGAGCTTTTGTCATTTGATCTTGGTTAGAGATTTGCCCTTAATTACTTAATTTTACTGGTGCATGTTGTCGGACCCTTGACAATAAGGTCATGTTTGACTTAACTCAAGATCACGGATTGGATCAGTGTATAGCCGCAAACCTTCGAATGTTTGCTTGAAACGGTTACTGGGATCCTTGCAGGTACATATCCGATTCCATCTTATTGAGAATGTTCATATTGATTCCGAGG